CCTCGTGTACGTCGACGACTTGGTCTTTGCCACTGCTGACACTGCAGGACTCGCCTACGTGAAGTCGGAGCTGCAGAGGAGACACACGTGCACAGACCTGGGTGAGCTGACAAGCTATCTTGGCTTGCGGATCACCCGGGACAGAGCACGGCGCACCATCACCCTGACTCAGTCACACATGGTGCAGCAGGTTCTCCAGCGCTTCCACTTCACGTACTCCTCGCCTCAGTCCACTCCTCTGCCTACCGGTCACTCGCTCTCAGCTCTGCCTTCGGATGAGTCCGTAGAGCCGAGTGGCCCGTATCCAGAGCTTGTGGGCTGCCTCATGTACCTGATGACCTGCACTCGACCTGACCTTGCATACCCTCTTAGCATCCTTGCACGCTATGTCGCTCCTGGCCGTCACAGGAAGGAGCACATGGATGCCGCTAAGAGGGTGTTGCGCTACTTGTGCAGTACGTCGGGCATGGGGCTAGTGCTTGGAGGGCGAGACCGAGTTGTGCTCACTGGACACTCAGACGCTTCTTGGGCGGACGACCAGGCTACTCAGCAGTCGTCTCAGGGTTACACCTTCAGCCTTGGCTCTGGCTCAGTTTCTTGGCGTTCCACACGCTCTTCGTCTGTTCTCAGCTCCAGTTGTGAGGCTGAGATCTACGCCACAGCCATGGCGGCCCAGGAGCTTCGCTGGCTGACCTACCTGCTGACCGACTTGGGAGAGAGGCCTCGTTCTCCTCCAGTGCTGTACGTCGACAACAAGGCTGCCATTGCCTTGTGTGAGGAGCACAGACTGGAGCACCGAACGAAGCACATCGCCCTGCGGTACTTCCTGGCTAGAGAGCTACAGCAGCGTGGTCAGCTTTGTCTGCGTTACGTGGCCACTGAGGCCAACACTGCTGATGTGTTCACCAAGGCGCTCCAGCCTTGTGACCATCAGCGCTTTTGTACTCTTTTGGGCCTTGTGCCTACTGGACCTCACTTGCTCACTTCTTGACTTTGCTTGTACTGTGATCTCTATATATATATATATACCTGCATGTTTACTCTTGCTAGGTTGTGATCACTGTATCTCTTGCTCTGTTATAAACCTGCATGTGAACTGGTCTTGTGACCGCTTGCTTGTGCTCGGAATTTGTGTGGAATCCTCGAGATCCACCCTGAGCCTGTTTTGCCTTGCTTTGCCCTGACTGGTCTTGTGACCCCTTGTTCTCCCCCACTTTGCCTATGGGGGTGTGTCAAACATATGTGCTGCATACTGTCTAGGCTGTAGTGGGGTAGCCCATATGGGGTACAACCCAAATTAGGGTTTACTACTTGTACTCCTGCATGCTGCTAGTTCACTCATTCCTGCCTGTTCGTCTGACATTATAAACCTGCATGTGGACTGGTCTTGTGACCCCTAGGTCTCCCCCACTTTGCCTATGGGGGTGTGTCAAACATTATATGTGTTGTGTTTGTGTAGGCTGTAGTGGGTTAGCCTATAGGGGGGTCACAACATTAGGGTTTCATATTTGTACTCACAATCCTTTCTAGTTCACCATTCCAGTCCGTTATTAGTGACAACGCTACAATCGTCCTCCACTTTAGCTAGATTTCCTCGTAATTTATTAATGTTTAATAGTATCGTATGAAGATCGGCCCATTTTGTGTCAGCCATCGACAATGTCAAAAAAAAATGTGGGCCTTCCAATCTGTCGCAACATCGCAAAGAGGTCGCGTTTATATTTATCTCTATATTGTTGTGTAGTACGGATTGGCTTGAAATCATTGTACAATGTATCATTTTGTTGTAATGTCAACCGTTTGGTTACGTCTAATATATCAGAGGCCGTATATGATTCTATATTTCTTATTTTTTCTTGCCTCACCCTAGTCACTATAACACTTTGAACTTGGAGGATCTCCATTTTGTACATCTTAAGGAAAATGTTCGAAATATTGGAAGAACATCGCCCGTTAATATGCTTCAAGTCCCATTTTACTATATCGGAGTATGAAGCATGAACATCAAGCGATCCGCCAAATCTATGCTGATCACAATATATTGAAGGAAAACTTAGTTATTCAACATCTTTGTCAAGAACAATAGACAACGGTTGTGAGTGCTCGCCAGGAGCAATTTCACAATGGATTGTGACGGTTGTTGATAAAAATGCTCTTGCTTTAATAATGTGTCAATCACGCCGACATTGTGATGGTCCACATTGTCGCTTTCACATGAAGACGACGATGCTGAGTCAACTTCATCATTAGTGTTTTTCTTTGCGTTTGTTATTGCAAACGAATCATTCTTTTCTAACGTTTTCATGTTTGCTTGATGAACGTGAATATCGTATTTCTTAAAAAGTTCTTGATTGCAAAGAATTTGCAAAGCCTTGAAAACTTTCGATGGGTGCACATTTTCTTCGAATGCATTGTTCTTGTACAGGAGCTTGCGTTTCAAATGTACTGTAACCGTGTGTGTATCATCTGGTAACCTTGGAAGCGATTGAACCATTTTGTCAACTTCTACTGGAATATTTATTACACCACCTTAAATGCCTAGTTGTTTGCCAACGGATAAAGAATGAATCTTCATAAAAGAGATGCGAGGACATAAGAGTCGCTCCTCCAACAAGTGTAAATATTGAAGCTCAAAAGGCTTCTTCGGAAACCATTTTTTATTAAAAATAGCGCAATGAGATTCTTTTCCGGCCCTCTCGAATTTGGCACAATGGCGACATACGCGTACATATGATTGGTGAAGATTCATTTGAACGATATTGGATGCAAAATTCAAAGTGCCACATTTTGTGCATTCTATTTCAGGTCCACGCTTACAATCGCTTAAAAATTAGCGCGTCAATCAATCCGTCTCTTGAGTGCGCGATTTTTTTTTTACTTATCTACGACGTCCACGAATACATCACTGAATTTTCTATCGAGATCCTTATTCAATATAGGAATGCCAGAGGGATCCAATCCTAATGTTATATCGATAGCATATTTATGAGGTGCACGTGGCTTATAATGTACAAAATAAGCTCGTGCAAATGCTGCATCAATGGTGTGCAAGAAACCGGAAAATGGATACGTTTTTTTGTTGTGATTGATTAAAAATTTGAAACCATGTGTCAGTGCTTTTACACCGATAAATTGTTTGCCTGAAGAGTTTTTCACTTGCTCATTCTTATGACATATGCAAAACAACTCTTTCTCCTTTCTCTTTTTGTTACGGCAATATTGTTTTGAACGCGATGGAATGAACTCATTTTCTCCGTCTTTCGTTTCACAGTATCTGTTCGAACTAAAAGTCGCAACGTTCATGTTACTACTCGCAACTTCGACGGATTCCTCAACGTTTTCTGCTTTCTTTGACAAAACTGTACTTGGGACACTCCTTTCGAGCGAACATTCTGAGGGCACAAAAATTGGCATATTTTGCAAGTTTCCACCTGACAAAAATTGAGTCCCATAAAGCAAGCCATCTTCATAAGGGACCAACAATGAATAGTGTGACATTGAAGAGTCGTAATGCAGATGCATTACTCGGTCAGTCGACGTACCTTGGTCTTGTGTAAAACAAGCAACAAAATGGGTCGTACCTAGCCAAATAAATGATGTAGTATTGAACACTTTGAAAAAAAACATGCACCTCATTGATGGACCCCCAAACACGATCAGGTGAAACACAAAAGAAATATTCGTCGGCGGATCTAAAAACGCGACCATGTGCCACACTTGCGTGATCAGGGTATTTATAATCGGAATTAGCCCAATTAGAAACAACGTAGTGCAACACTGCAAGTTTAACTTCTTCATACCTGCTTTGTGTATCGTAAAGGCACTTGGACATACTTCGGTTCAAACAATTGCCATCGCCTTTAATGGTTGACTTAGTAAAACGATACGGCTTCTCAAATTCACGAACAACTCCCTCACTTTTCGAGATTATGCTTGAAGATGAGGTTGTTATCTTGTTCAAACTAAACGTTGCATTACTCATGTTACTACAATCGACATCGTTTGTCGATAAACTCGCAGCATGTGACAAGCAATCATCGATGGACACCTCAACGTCTCCTGTATTCTTTGACAAAATTGTGTGTGAGACATTTCTCTCAATCGAACAAACGTCTAAAGGTAAGGACGTTGGCATATTCTGCAAGTTCTCACCCGGCAAAAACCGAGTTCCATAAAGCACGCCATCCTCAGAAGGGACCAACAATGAATAGTGTGACATTGAAGAGTCGTAATGCAAATGCATCACTCGGTCAGTCGACGTACCTTGGTCAGGTGTAAAACAAGCAACAAAATGAGTCGTACCTAGCCAAATAATTGATGTAGTATTGAACACTTTGGAAAACGCATGCACCTCATTGATGGACCCCCAAACACGATCAGGTGAAACATAGAAAAAATATTCGTCGGCGGATCTAAAAACGCGACCATGAGCCACACTTGCGTGATCAGGGTATTTATATTCGGGATTAGCCCAATTAGAGACAATATAGTGCAACACTGCAAGTTTAACTTCTTCATACCTGCTTTGTGTATCGTAAAGGCACTTGGACATACTTCGGTACAAACAATTGCCACCGCCTTTAATGTCCAACTTATTAAAACAATACGGCTTCTCAAACTCACCAGCAACACCTTCGCCTGTGCAAATTATGCTTGAGGATGGAATTGTCGTCTTGAATCAAGGCAGTGCGACCCCCCTCCTTCTGATACCGCCCGTATAGGAATCACTGCCATTGACAACAAAAATGGGGCAAAATATTTTGAAGGAACAAAAAGGAAACGAAAACACAATTACACAATGCATACACAATCCGAGCACCATGACCCGGGCACCATGAGCCGGGCACCATGACCCGGGCACCATGACTCGGTCACCATGAGCCGGGCACCATGAGCCTAGCACAATGAGCCGGGCACCATGACCCGGGCACCATGAGCCGAGCCTCATGAGCCAGTCACCATGACGCGGGCACCATGAGCCGGGCACAATGACCCGGGCACTATGACCCGGGCACCATGGGCCGGTCACCATGACCCGGGCACCATGACCCGGGCACCATGAGCCGAGCACCATGAGCCGGGCACCATGAACTGGTCACCACGAACACGGCACCATGAGCCGGGCACCATGAGCCAGGCACCATCAGCCGGGCACCATGTCCTAGGCACCATGAGCCAATCACCATGAGCCGGGCACCATGAGCCGGGCAACATGTGATGTTCCAGGCACCATGTCTGGTCACCATGAACCCGGCACCATGAGCCAGTCACCATGACCTGGGCACCATGACCCGGGCACCATGACTCGGGCACCATGAGCCGAACACCATGAGCCGGGCACCATGAGCTGGGCCCCATGAGCCGGGCACCATGAGCCGGGCACCATGACGCGGACACCATAAGCCGGCCATGTCCCGGGCACCATGACCCGGGCACCATGAGCCGGGCACCATGAGCCGCGCATCATGAGCCGGGCACCATGAGCCGGGCACCATGAGCCCGCGCATCATGAGCCGGGCACCATGAGCCGGGCAACATGAGCCGGGCACCATGAGCCGGGCATCATGTGGTGTCCCGGGCACCATGACCCGGTCACCGTGAACCAGGCACCATGAGCCGTGCACCATGACCCGGGCACCATGCGCCAGGTTTAAGGTTTAGGGTTTGCCAAGAAATTAGCAAAATATAGGTTTATTAAAAACGATTTTTTCCAAGTGTCTCGAAATAGAGCACAAAGTAATTGCTTACAGTATGGTTAGAGCTAGTAGCTTCAAGGTTGCTGGAAGGGATGGAGCAAGTGAATTGGTTCGAGTTTATACGCATGTGGAACGATACAGAGGGGTGCACAAAAATGCGATATGATATGAATGGATGTGTGGGAATATATGTAGAGGTGTGTGATCAAACAGGAGTTGACTACCATGTGTGTGGTGGAAACATATATATTAAAGGTGTAAAATTAAGAAAGCGTATATGAGAGCATAACAATCAAATCTGTTTCTTTCCAGTAGCAAGCAGAGCACAGCTAGTCTACCTGAAAATTTTCAGATAAAAAAGCCGGCTAACAGGGTATTGAGGGATGAGAGAGTAAATAGCAATGGAGGAAGGGAGTCGAACAAGGAGATGCTGGAAAGTTTCCTGATGTTGAAGCACGAGGAAACAGAGGTTAAAGATAAAGAGAGAGAGAGAGAGAGAGAAAAAAAAAAAAACAACTACGACGGTGGGTTGAGTCATTAAGAGAACGAAGACGACTGGGTGAGCAATCAAAATAAACACGTCGGCATGGAGCGGAACATATGAGCATGTCTCGATGAGCATAAACATGGCAACAAATTGAATGAGCACGCTCACGCAGAGATGTGCCCACATGACAGCAATCTTATTGCGGAAAGTGTTGTAATCTAATTTATCTTTATTATTGACGGAAAAGTTAGAAAGAATATATGGTTATCAAAGAACCGTTGTACAAGTTAGGAGAGTACCAAATCTCTTACAAAAATGTTCTTAAAGAAATAAAAATACAAGACTGTCTGCAAGCATGCACGCACGTACAAGTCTTCAACTACTCAAGTACCAAGATTACAGTGCAATCGTAGCTTGTTAGACCACGCTTACTGACGGCCTGCCACATGGTGAAAGTGGGGAAGGGGTAAACAGTGAGGAAAGGAGGCAGATGAAGGGCGAGGCAATGACGGGTGTAGATGACGAGCGAGGCGCATGGCAAGAGTGAGAGGCACGGGAAGGTTGAGTGCCGAGTACGCTCATGCGGCTTACACCTCATAAAGAACGCTTGTGGCGAGTGCAGGCACCATTATGAAACGAAGGCAATCATATGGAGCTTATGATAAAAGTGAGTAAGAAAAGTGACATGAAGAGGGAGGTTGTGCAAAAAAATCGCACTCCAATTCCATTGTAAAGAGGCAGACAGAGAAGTACATAAAAACCGACATGAAAACACAACGATGACGAAATATATAGAAAAAAAAAGGAAGCATATAAAGGCATACGCACGATGAGGCGGCTTGCAGGTCCACGGAAGGCTTGTGACAAGTGCTGGCTCCTTCGTTCAGGAGGGAAGGCAAGTGCATGGAGTGCATGGCAAGAGTAGGAGACACGGCACGGGTGAGAGACACGGTAAAAGTGAGTGCTGGGTACGCTGAAACAGCTTGCAACTCAACAGAAGGCTTCTTTCTGAAAAGGGGAGAAGAGACAAGGGCTTGTCAAGCATCTATACCAATGATGGAACAATGGGCTGGATGAAAAATAGGTAGTTGATGAAAACCATCTATACCAATGCGCTTGCAATCAAGGCGACAAGGCACCAACGCCCAATGCTCTGGCGCTAAAATTGCCAAGGCACCAGAGCCCTGTGCGCTGGCGCTCAAGGCGCCAAGGCACAGCGCACAAAGCACCGGCGCTCAAAATGCCCAATGCGCTCAAGGCGCCAAGGCGCCAAGGCGCCAGCGCCCAATGCGCTGAATACGCCAAGGATCCAAAGCGCCAAAGTGCTAGCGCCCAAACGTTATTTCCATGAGCTTTCAACGCTAAAAAATGTAGTAAACGGGCAGCAAAATAACGTATAAAGAAATATATAGAAAGAAACGGAAGCATGTTATGGCATACGCACGAAGAGGCGGCTTGCAGATCCACGGAAGACTTGTGACAGGTGCTGGCTTATTCGTTCTGAAGGGAAGGCAAGTGCATGGAGTGCATGGCAAGCGTAAGAGATACGGCAAGGGTGACAGACACGGCAAGGGTGAGTGCTGGGTACACTGAAGCAGCTTGCAGCTCAATAGAAGGCTTCTGCGTGAAGAGGGGAGAAGAGAGAAGGGCTTGTGAAGCACGAGAATAATGGATAGTTAATCGAACAATGCGCTGGATGAAGATTAGGTAGTTGATGGAAAACATCTATACCAATGTGCTTGCAATCAAGGCGACAAGGTGACCAGCGCCCAATGCTCTATCGCTCAAAATGCCAAGGCGCCAGAGCCCTATGCGCTGGCGCTCAAGGTGCCAAGGCACAGCGCACAAAGCTCTGGCGCTTAAGGCGCCAAGGCGCCAACGCCCAATGCGCTGGCGCTTAAAACGCAAAGGTGCCAGGCGCTCAAAGCGCCAAGGCGCCAGCGCCCAATGCACTAGCGCTTAAAATGCAAACGTGCCAGGCTCTCAAAGCGCCAAGGCGCCAGCGCATTGGGCGCCAAGGCACCAGCGCCCAATGCGCCGGCACTTAAAACGCAATGGCACCAGCGAGCTCTGACGCTCAAAGCGCCAACGCGCCAGCGCCCAATGCGCTGGCGCTCAAGGCGCCAAGGCGCCAGCGCCCAATGCTCTGGCGCTTAAAACGCAAAGGCACCAGGCGCTCAACGCTCCAAGGCACCAGCGCTAAAACGCAAACGCGCCAGGCGCTCAAAGCGCCAAGGCGCCAGCGCATTGGGCGCCAAGGCGCCAGCGCCCAATGCGCTGGCGCTTAAAACGCAAAGGCGCCAGCGAGCTCTGACGCTCAAAGTGCCAACGCGCCAGCGCCCAATGCGCCAAGGCGCCGGAGCTTGGGGCTCTACTGCTGGAGGTACTTCTGCTGACGTCACTGGAGCTGGGAGTGGTGCTGGTTCTTTGCCTGCTGGAGGTGCTGAGCCTGTGCGTGAGGAGACTGGAGGTGCTGTGCCTGAGGGTGCTGCGTCCGGGGGTGCTGAGCCTGAGAGTGCTGAGTCTGGGGGTGCGGCGCCTGAGGGTACTGAGACTGCTGGTGCGCGGTCTCCTTGGAGTAGCCGCCTTCGTCCGCGTGTGCCTTCTTCGCTGCTGGTGCTCAGGGCTCTACCGCTGGAGGTGTTTCTGCTGTCGTCGCTGGAGCTGGGAGTGGTGCTGTGTCTACAGGAGGTGCTGGAGTCGCTGGTCCCGGAGGTGCTCGTACTGGAGGTACTGGAGCTGCTGGGACTGGAGGTGCTGTGTCTGGGGGTGCTGCTGCTGGAGACACTGAGGCTGGGGACCCTAGGACTGGAGGTGTTGGTTCTGGGGGTGCTGATGCTAGAGACACCGAGACTAGAGAACCTAGGACTGGAGGTGCTGGTTCTGGGGGTGCTGCTGCTGGTGGTGCTGGCGCTGGAGGTTCAGGAGCTGCTGGAGGTGCTGGAGGTGCTGGAGCCACTGGAGCTGCTGGAGCTGCTGGTGCTGGTGCAGCTGCGCCGACACGATTGTTCTTCGCTCCGCCGTCTCCGTCGTCTCTGCCACCGCCTGACTCTGTTCTTCGTCAGGTTCTTACCCTTCCGTCGTCTACTGGTCTTCCGTTACTGCCTGGCTCACCGCTCCCTGCTCCTCCTCCTTACACTGAGCAGCCCGGTGGTCTTGCTGAGCGTCGTGAGCCTGCGTCGCGTCCTGTCTCGCCTGTTCGTCCAAGTTGTTCCAGTCGTCGTGTTCCTCGTTCGCGTCAGCCGGCTGTCCCCGGCACACACCTCGTAGTCCGTCGTCCTTCCTCTGCTCCGCAGCCTGTTCCTCTGCCGTCTCCCCCTACGTCCTCTCTGCCTGACGTTGCAGACCCTGGGTCTGACTGCTATCGTGCTGCACACCCTACTGTCACGCGTCTGTTAGCCACTGTTGTCACTGACCCGTCGTTTGAGTCTACTGCTGCGTCTGCCTTTGTCGCTGAGCTTGTTGACTTTGCTGCTGCCTGTCGTCTAGACTACGCCGCTAGTCTTGTTGCTGAGTCTGAGTCTGTATGTCCTCCGTCCGTCGGGGGTGAGTGTGCTCAGACGTCCTTAAGGACAGGCACGAGGACCTTGAGTGTCTTGAAGATGCTGCGCCTCATCTCGTGGCCATGCTGCTTGCCCCTGAGGGAGACCTGGATGCACCAGACATCCCGACCCTGCGCTCTTACGCTGAGGCGATCGCGGGTGAGTACTCCTCTCAGTGGCAGACAGCCATGGACGCATAGATGGCATCCTGGAAGTCCACAGGCACTTACGTCGATGAGGTTCCCCCTCCTGGGGCGAACATCGTCGATGGTATGTGGATTTTCAGGGTGAAGCGGCCGCCGGGTTCTCCGCCTGTCTTCAAGGCTCGTTACGTTGCTAGAGGTTTCAGTCAGCGTGAGGGAGTTGACTTCTTCCAGACCTTCTCCCCTACCCCGAAGATGACCACTCTTCGGGTGCTGCTGCACGTTGCCGCTCAGCGTGACTATGAGCTTCACTCTCTTGACTTCAGCACAACCTTCTTACAGGGCAGCCTGGAAGAGGAGATCTGGTTGCGCCGCCCACCTGGCTTCACTGGGTCGTTCCCTCCTGGTACCCAGTGGAGCCTCCGGCGGCCAGTCTACGGTCTCCGCCAGGCGCCTCGTGAGTGGCACGACACACTGAGGACTACACTTGTGGCTCTTGGGTTCGCTCCTTCGACTGCTGACCCGTCGCTGTTTCTGCGCACCGACACTTTGCTGCCGCCGTTCTACATCCTCGTGTACGTCGACGACTTGGTCTTTGCCACTGCTGACACTGAGGCTCTTGCTCTGGTGAAGTCGGAGCTGCAGAAGAGACACACGTGCACTGACCTGGGTGAGCTGCGCAGCTACCTTGGCTTGCAGATCACCCGGGACAGAGCACGCCGCACCATCACACTGACTCAGTCACACATGGTGCAGCAGGTCCTTCGGCGCTTCGGCTTCACCTGGTCCTCCCCAGAGCCCACTCCTTTGGCTACAGGTCACTCGCTCTCAGCTCCACCTTTGGACGAGTCCGTAGAGTCGAGCGGTTCTTACGCAGAGCTAGTGGGCTGCCTCATGTACCTGATGACCTGCACTCGACCTGACCTCGCGTATCCTCTTGGCCTTTTGGCTCCTGGTCGGCACCGAAAGGTGCACATGGATGCTGCGAAGAGGGTACTGCGCTACCTGTGCAGTACATCGGGCATGGAGCTCGTGCTTGGAGGACGGAGCGCTGTTGTTCTTACTGGACACTCTGACGCGTCTTGGGTTGACGACCAGGCTACGCAGTGGTCGTCACAGGGTTACACCTTCAGCCTTGGCTCTGGCTCTGTTCCTTGGCGGTCCACGCACTCGTCTTCTATTCTCAGCTCCAGTTGTGAGGCTGAGATCTACGCCACAGCCATGGCTGCACAGGAGTTACGCTGACTCACCTACCTGCTAACCGACTTGGGAGAGAGGCCTCGTTCTCCTCCAGTTCTGTACGTCGACAACAAGGCCGCCATTGCCTTGTGTCAGGAGCACAGACTGGAGCACGGAACGAAGCACATCGCTCTGCGTTACTTCCTGGCTCGAGAGTTGCAGCAGCGTGGTCAGCTTCGTCTTGCTCACGTGGCCACTCGGGCCAACACTGCTGATATCTTCACCAAGGCACTTCCGTCTTGTGATCATCAGCGCTTTTGTACTTTGTTGGGCCTTGTGCCTACGTTTCCACACTTGCTGTAGACTTTGTTTGTACTGTGATCTATATATATACGTGCATGCTTGTGCTCAGAGCGTGTGGTGAAGTTGTGATCCACCCTGAGCTTGCTTTGCCTTTCTTGACTGGTCTTGTGACCTCTTGTTCTCCCCCACTTTGCCTATGGGGGTGTGTCAAACAGATATGCTGCTTACTGTGTAGGCTGTAGTGGGGTAGCCCATATGGGGTACAACCCAAATTAGGGTTTCATACTTGTACCCATCCTGCTGCTAGTTCATTCATTCCTGCCTGTAGTTTCTGACACGTTGGCGCGCCGTAGACGTGCAGCATTGGCAAGCCACTTTTCTCCAGCGCTAGAGCAGTACGAGCCTTGCAACGCTGGATCGCGGTCGACCGTGCTGCGCTGGAGGTCGACCTGCATGCTTGCTAGCTCTGAGTAGTCTCTCTTGCCAATGTTGCTACTATTATTCTGAACTTTTGTTGTGAACTCTTGCTAGTGGAACTCTTGTTGGAGAAATTTCCCCGTGAATGCGCAAGTAGTGTGAGCACGAGTTAACGATTAAGGAACGAAAGCAGAGATCACTCCTATCCCGTGCCTTGCCCGTAACCAGGCTCCCGTAGTAGTAGTTATCTCCGCATACTGCATGTTGCAGCACAGCGTGACTACGAGCTCCACTCGCTTGACTTCAGCACAACTTTCTTGCAGGGCAGCTTACACGAGGAGATATGGCTATGCTGCCCACTTGGCTTCACTGGGTCGTTTCCTCAGGGTACCCAGTGGAGCCTCTGGCGGCCAGTCTACGGTCTACACTGAGGATGACGCTTGCTGCTCTTTCCTTCGACTGCTGACCCGTCACTGTTTTTACGCACTAACACTTCTCTGCCGCCATTAGTCATCCTTGTGTACGTCGACGACTTGGTCTTTGCTACTGCTGACATTGAGGCACTAGCCCTTGTGACTTCGAAGCTGCAGAAGAGACACACCTTCACTGACCTTGGTGAGGTGCACAGCTATCTTAGCTTGCAAATGACCCGGGACAGAGCGTGGCACACCATCATTCTCACTCGGTCACATATGGTGTACCAGGTCCTTCAGCGCTTCGGCTTCCAGTTCTCCTCGCCATAGTCCACTCCTCTGCCTACAACCCACTCGCTCTCAGCTCCACCTTCGGACGAGTCCGTAGAGTTGAGTGGTCAGTAATCAGAGCTTGTGGGCTGCCTCATGTACCTGATATCCTGGACTCGACCTGACCTCGCGTACCCTCTCAGCATCTTGGCACGCTACGTTGCGCTCGGGAGACATCGACCCGAGCACTGGCGGGCTGCACAGAGGGTGCTACAATACTTGTGCAGTACATCAGGCATGGGCCTTGTGCTTGGAGGATGGGGTACTCACTGGACACTCAGTGGTCGTCACATGGTTACACCTTCAGCCTTGGCACAAGTTCAGCTTCTTGGAGGTCTTCTGTTCTCAGCTTCAGTTGTGAGGCTAAGATTTACGCAAGGGCCCTTGCTTACCGACTTAGAAGAGCAACCTCGTTCTGTACGTCAAGAACAACAAGGCCATGATTGCCTTGTGTCAAGAGCACAGACTGGAGCACAGAACGAAGCATATCGCTCTGCGTTACTTCCTTGCACGAGAGTTGCAACAGCGTGGCCAGCTTCGACTTGCTTACGTGGCCTCACGGGCCAACACTGCTGATATTTTCACCAAGGCACTTGTGTGTGGCGATCATCAGCGTTTCTGTACTGCTTTAGGCCTTGTGCCTACTCTGCCTCACTTGCTTACTACTTGACTTTGCGTTGTACCGTAATGGATAAATCTCTACCTGCATGCTTACTCTGGCTAGGATGTGATCACTATACTGCATGTGCTCTTCATAACTGTGCATGTGAGCTGGTCCTATGATAATTTGCTTGTGCTCGGACTGAATGGTGCCTTAGTGATCCATCCTGAGCTTTGTTTTGCTTCTTCTCTTGACTAGTCTTGTGACCATTGCCTGCTCTGGCTATCCCCCACTTAGCCTATGGGGGTGTGTCAAAACGATGTTTATATCTCTGTAGGCTCTTGCGAGGTTAGCACTTAGGGGTACACAAATTATGGGGGCACATTCTTCTTGTATTCCCCCCTGAGTGACCTAAGCCATCCATTCCTTCCTACCTATCTCAACAGGGCTGTGGTATCTCAACGGATGGGCGTACAAATGGACAGACTGCCTTACCTAAACTAAATGATTTTTATGAGCATGCGTTACTACGCCGCCCTGTGTTTGTGATATGCTGTGATGGAGACTATGGCAAACAACAATTTCGTAGTCCTGCTTGATTGGGTTTCACGCAGCCTGAAGGTTGTCAGCCACCTTGTAGTAGCCACCGTGATAGAGCATGTGTTACTACGCTGGTTGTCTTATGCTGGATGTGAAACATGGCGCTGTTCTGTAGGCGTTAAATTTCGAAAATCTGGGTCCGCAGAATCTTCGCTGATAAGTGGGTTTTTGCTTATCAAGATTCGGTGATAAGCAAAGTCCTGCCAAACCTGTTCGCGCCAAATTTAACGCCACTGCCTGCAGAACAACACTTTTGGTGCGCAAAATTTTAAACGTCCGCTGGTTCGAAGATGTTGCTTCACCTGGCAAATGGGCGCACAACTAGTGCGGTGCTGATTCTACCTCGGGAGCTAGCATCAGCCTCCGCACAAGTTATGCGGGGCAGCAACATCCGCGCAATGCAACCAGCGTGAATAAGCCTGGAAATTACACGGAAGGCTAACGCGGTCAAATTGGAGCGGAACCCTAAACGCCTGCAAAACAACGCCATAAAGGGGCTGTTCGCCAGCACCATATATCTAAAAACAATGGGATAACGACGGGATCAGGAAGGTGGGTCTCGCCTTCCTGATCCCGTCAGTTAGAGTTCGTTAACCTCCGTCAGCTTGGTCAGCCCGTGAAAATTGTGCCGAGCCTCACCTACCGTCCAAACCAACAAACAAACTGTGCGTCTGGCGAACGCACACTTTTGTACACCAATTTTGACGTTTCGATGCCATATGGAAGCGGGGACGAAACTTCCTCCCCAGGCAAAACACCATCCCCTAGCCATGCCATCGCCATGCTGCGTTTTTCAAAGCACAGCGATGGCACAGCCGTCGCATTGCCGTTCAAAAGGGATCGAGGGGAAGGTGGAATGGAGGTTCCCGATGCGATGCGAAATTTCTTGAGCGCAGGCGCAGAAGTTTCTTGAACGGCATTTCGCCCAACCCTCGGAGGAGGGTTCCGCTCCCGTTTCCATATGCGGTCGCGATGCTGATGCCATCGTTTTCAATTTAAAAAACGATTTGCTGGCGAACAGCACCAAAATGTTGGGATTTCAAACAAACGGTTTTGCTGTATACAACAACCATGTCAATAACGGATGGTGCAGGGCAGCTTCACACACAAACTAACCCGCATAGAGCCGCAGTTTTTGTGGAGTCCAATGTCGCGGCTGCCTCTCGTTATACGCCCGTAAACCTATCACCTCTCACCTCGAGTGTTAGCGCCGCGAGTTTCGCCTCGGGTTCCAACGCCGCCCAAGGCGCGACGTCTCATACGTCGTGCAGCTCGCCTCGCCGGCCTCGTTCCGTTTGCGTTGAGAAAGCGAAATGCACCACGATGGAACCATGAACCATCCGAACACCCGGCAAGCCCATCGCAGGCAAGCCTCGATGAATCCGTCGCGGCGGGCTGGCCGCGGCTCGCCGCCCGTCGGTCTTGTCGACTGCGCGCTCCACGCGGCTACTACGAGGTGGCGCGCCGCGCGGCTACTGCGAGGTGTCATCCACGAACGGCGGTCCGTCACAACCGCGGCCACCGCAGAGGCTGGTGGACGGCCCTTAGAAATAGCGGGCCGTCCTACGGCCAGTATTTGTGAATCTGCTCGCACCGTCGCTGGGAATCGCGCAGCTTCTCGTGTAGCTTCACAGGTAGTACTATCCGCTCGCCCCCATATCGGTTCCGCCGTGCGCACGACCTTGGCTTCACGGCTCGCCGTGGGGCAAGCACTCGGCCGCAGCACGTGCAGCAGCAGCAGCAGCAGTCGGCGGCGGCGCTGGGCGGCATGAGCGTGTGTGCGTTTCACTCTTGCGCCGCCATGAGCAACCTCATGGAGGCCTCCGTCTGCCATGCCTCTCCCCGCGCACCGCCCTACCGCGCACCGCCCTACCGCGCACCGCCCTTCCGCGCACCTCCCTGCCGTGCACAGGCGGTGCCACAGCAGCAGCGGCTGGCGCGCGCTGGCCTGCGAGGTTGCGCAGCACTGAGCCTCCCTGGCGCGCAGCGCGCAAGCGGGGTGGTGGCGCGCGGAGGGCGGACGGCGTGCAGCAGTGCGCGTGTGCGCTGTCAGGCTAGCAGCTCTGCCGCTGCTGGGAAACATGGATGGGCGGAAGATGATGAGCGAGCCTCGCCTGCCCTTGCTGCTGCTCCAATGCCACTTGCTGCCGGTCCCCCTCCCCAAACCGTGCCTGCTCACGTGGACATCACAGCTCCCGCTGCTTCCCCTTCTGACTCCCTAGCCGCTGCTGCTGCTGCTGCTCCCACACCGACACATGCAGCATCGGCCACTGCTCATGCTGCCGTTCCGCCTTCCCTAGCCAGCGAGCTGCCAACAGCAGGCGAGGTGGGGCAGCAGCAGGCAGCAGGGGAGGCGGCAGGGGAGGAAGCAGGAGAGGTGGGCACGGCAAGCCCTGGCGAGGAAGCAGCAGAGGGGGTGGAGCTCAGTCTCGCGGAGAAGGAACGGTTCGACTGGAACAAGGCGTGGTACGCGGTGGGGGTGATTGCAGACATGGACGCGAGTCGCCCGCACGCGCTCACAGTGGTGGGCCGCCCCCTCGTGCTCTGGCGGGACGCCTCCCACACCTGGCGCGCCTTCGCTGACCAGTGCCCGCACCGCTTGGTTCCACTGTCCGAGGTGAGTCTGTCTTCCTTTGCAGCAAGCTAGCACGCACCGTCTCGCGACCCGCCCAGAGCCATCCTGGTCTGTCAGGCCAGCAGGTCTTTCTCTACACACCAATGCCCTCTGCCTCTCTCAAACCCCGCCTTGTGCCCGTGTCCTTCGCTCTGCGTAGGTCTTGCACCTCGTCGAGGTATTCGCTGCACCATGTCGTTCCTCATCATGTCAGCTCCTTACCTCCATCCGCGCCGCGCACCGCTCTGCGTGCCCTCTGCCTGCCCTGCACAAGTCGGCCGGTTGCCACCCACGCCACACTAACATCTCTCCCCTCATCTCCCTTCTCCCAAGCACTCATCCAGCCACCTGGCACGAACGTTCCCACTCGTCGGCCCCACCTTATTTCCTGCCCCCTGCCGCAACCCCCAGTGCAGCACAGCCTCGTGTAAAACCCTGCCGTGTTGTGCCTGCCTCTCTCATTTCGTCCGCCCTTTTTCTTATCCCGCCCCCACTCCCCTTCTCCCCACTCCAGGGCCGCATAGACGCGGAGGGGCGCCTGGCGTGTTCGTACCACGGGTGGGCGTTTGCAGGCAGTGGTGCGTGCCAGCTCATCCCGCAGGCGCCCCAGGACAACCCGGGCCAGCCCCCCCGCGCCCTCTCCTCTCCCCGCGCCTGCGCCACCGCCTTCCCCACCAGGGAGCTCCATGTGAGAGCGTGCTTGCCACACGCCTGTGCGTGCTTGCCACACGCCTGTGCGTGTTTTCACCTTTCCGCACCCATGCGCATCTGCTGCATGCTCCATTGACCTTTCTCTGAAACGATCCACCTGCCTCTCCGTCTTTACGACTCTATCGTGCCGTCCCGTCTTGCCTGCCGGCTTCGCTCCCACATTTGTTTGGGGCACGGCGTTAAACGCTCCACACGCGCCCACACCGCCTTCTTTCCCTCGTACGGCAGGAAATCTCTTGTCTATGAAGCCGTGTTTGCTCTCGTTTGACAGCACGCTGTATGCAGACCGCACACCCTGCACTGTTCACCAGCTTCACCCCCTCAGTCGCTACCCCTACCTTCCTCCTTCCCCGCTCCCCCCACCCTCTTCCCCACGGCAGGGCATTCTCTTCGTGTGGCCCGACAGCGCCTCTGCAGAGCAGGCGGAGCGCACAGCCATCCCCGAGCCCGAGGGCGTGGAGTGGGATGCGTGTGACATGATGGTGCACGCGCGGCGCGTGAGCTACAGCTACGAGGTGCTGGCGGAGAACTTTGCCGACCCCGCGCACATCTTCTTCGCCCACCACGGCTTCGGCCCGCTGCACCGCCACCAGGGCGCTCCCATGAAGGAGATCAGCTTGCACTCTCTGGTGAGTCGAGCGCGCTGCGCATGGTGAGACGAGCGGGCGACGCGTGGTGGGATGAGTCTTAAAAGATTCCGCGCTGCTCCCTGCCATGCCTTACCACTGCATTCCATACTGATGTGATGAGGAGCGCTACAGTGTGTTTGTTCTTTTTTTGCCTTTGCAGCATTGTCTTCTCTCTAAAAGAGCCTCCTTGTGAGAGTTGATCCATCATCAGTGTTCATGTTCAGTGTCATTCGTTCCCCACCCTCTCCACATTCCCTCCCCACGTGCTGTCAGACCAAGGACGGCTTCCAAGGCACCTTTCACGATGCTCTCTCGCCTGCCATCTTCACATTCAGCGCCCCCTCGTTCATCTGTTACAACCGGTATGGCCACTGCCTCGTAGCCATGCCACTGCCTCGTAGCCATGCCACTGCCTCGTAGCCATGCCACTGCCTCGTAGCCATGCCACTGCCTCCTTCTGCTGGTGGTCCTGCTGCTGGTCTTGCCGTTGGTCCTGCTGCTGGCCCTGCTGCCAGTATGCCATTGAATCACTGAGTCCACTGTTACATTTCCTCGCGACCATGCCACTGCCTCGTCATCTTGCCACTGAAGTGAGCAACTGCAGGTTCCTCTAACCCCGTTCCTCACTCCCTGCAGCGCCCTCCCTCCATCGCCGGCGGCAACAGCGGCAGCGGCGGCGGCGGGAGAAGCTCCCCCGGCGCCTACAACGGCAATCGCGTGCCTGTACATGACGCCCATGCGCCCGGGGGAGTGCCTCATGATCTCCCTGCAGGGTAACGACGAGGGCGTGGAGAAGGGCAACAAGGGGGCAGCACCGAGGAGGAAGACGCAGTGGAACGAGCAGTTTGCATCGCGGAGGTGGTGCGCGCACCTCTTCACTCACGCTCTCTTTGACAGTACGATGCCCGCTCGCCCTGCTTGCCTCTCATGCCCGCCCTGCTTGCCTCTCGTGCCTTAGCTCCTGTCTCTCATGACTGGTGTCAGCACACACATGCAGTCATGCTTCTTCTGAACATAGAAGCTATGCATCCACTTCCTGCTTCGGGGATATCACGCACCGTCGTGTGCTCAAATTCTGCTTATCCATGGTGGCGTATCGATGCTGCTGCTGCCTGTAATGAGCCCTTTTTCTACGGTACATTCCCCTCGTTGACCCTTGACCGCCACGTCTTTCCATTGCCCTCGACCTCGCCCATCCCTCCACCTCGGCCATCTCTCCACGTCGCCCATCCCTCCTCCTCGCCCCCACCAGGCGACCACTACTTTCTGCACTGTCAGGACATCCTCCTGAGCCACAAGATCGAATCCATTGCCGCCCGGCATCATGCTGCTGCCGCGGCCAGGGCAGGGCCAGGCAGAATGGCAGGGCCAGGCGGAATGGCAGGGCCAGGCGGAATGGCAGAGCAGGAGCAGGCGGAGGCGGAGCGGGGTGCAAGGAGGGCGGGCGGGCGCTTCTGGCAGTCGGAGTACTTCCTGCCCGCCCCGGCTGACCTCTTTGTGGTGGCCTTCCGCCAGTGGATGGGCACTTATGCTGGTATGCTCATGCCATGGATGTGCACTTATGCTGGTATGCTCATGCCATGGATGGGCACTTATGCTGGTATGCTCATGCCATGGATGGGCATGTATGCAGGTAGGGTGCGTGTGCACATGGCTTGTGATGGATGTTCGTTTGCCGTACTGCCATGCACCCATTATGACAAGATAGAGTGTGCTCTACCCTCCAAACTCCGCCCATTCTTCATCTTCTTCTCTGTTGGCCCAAATCATCTCCTCACACACACTGTCAGCACACAGCAAGCACACCCTAAGTCTGACTCCGCCTTCTCCCCATCCCCCCAACAGACGGCGCTGTAACTTACCCCCCGGGCTACTCCATGCGCCCACAGCCACTCCCCAAGGAGGTGGTGTTGGACCGCATGGCCTCCCACACGGCACACTGCACCTCCTGCTCCTCCGCCCTCGCCACCCTGCAGCGACTGCACCTGCCGCTGCCCGCACTCTCCCTGCTCGCTGGTGCTGCTGCTGTTGCTGTCCCCCTTGTGTTCCCTTCCGCCTCTATTGTGTTTCCTCTTGTCCTGTTGCTGATGTCAGCAGCTCTGGCAGTGGCTGCCTGGAAGGTTCACCAACTTATCCCACAGTTCATCTATGTGGGTTGGGATCATTCCAAGACCTAAGTGACCCTGTAGCACGTTTTGAATGTACAGTTATCTTGCAGTTGAGTCATCTTTTGGATGCAAGCCCTGAAGAATTCTATGGTACTATCACTTTCCGGACATAAGACTAGGCTGTATGTTACGATCATGCGCTTATGTCCGAACTAATGTGTTCATGCACGAAATCGAAGCCCTTTCTAAGGAGAACACGACGTGAAACGTTCACATGTGTTCATGCACGAAATGCAGGCAAAAACAGCTACGACTCGAGTTCCCACCGCACAAAACCCGTCCCTAAGCAATACATCTGCCAACGCTGACTGGGAAGTTGCCGTGCGGCCCAATCAGGAGCCGATTCGATTCCAGACAGGAGCATCGCAATCGATCCCTCTAGAAGGGGGTCGAATATGCCCTGCCAGCTATGCATGTGACGGGTCGCGATCCCTCCTCAGCGTGTTCAGGCAGGGGGGTTCCTGTCTTTCATTGACGAGGAACCCGAGCCGCAAGGCCGAAGGGGTCCCTTCAGAACTTTCATTCTTGTTCCATTCTTGCACTTTCACCCAGACGTTTCTCATGTTTCGCCCGCCAGGCTGCGAAAGCCATGGCGGAATTTACTGGCACGCACTTTCTATTCAAGAAAAAGCCTAAGGCCGCCTGGCGAGTTGACAATGACGGCTGGTACAGCCGTGTCCCACCAGAGCCTCCTGAGCCACCACAGCCTCCCGCGCCACCTGCGCCGCCATCTCTTCCAGCGCCTCCTGCGCCGCCATCTCCTCCAGCGCCTCCTGCTCCTCCCAATCCGCCCGTGTGTGCAGGCCCATCACAACCTCCCGTGCTCACGCTCCTGCACCCGTCGGCGTTCGACGAGTACTTGTCGGAACCTGACAGCAACAAGCCCCCGACGTCTACATTCGCACTCCGCCCCCGGCACCACGATGGGGCCAGCCGCAAGATTGCGCGTGGGACGAGTCTGCTGTGGGCGCTGACGACGACGAGGCCGACACCGAGGCTGGCACCACGGCTGGCACCGCGTCTGGCACCGACACTGGCGCCGAGGGCGGCACCGCGGGAGATGTTTTTCCCGAGGGTGCCCCGGGTGGCGATGACGATGACGGTGTGGAGTACTGGTCGCGCGACGGGCTTCCCGAGAAACTTCCTATTCCAACGTTTCCGCCTGTTAACCGCAAGCGTCCCCACCCCTCTTCCGAGAATCTGGATGCCCGCCCCCCCTCTCCCACGCACAAGCCCTCGTAGCGTAAGCGTAACTCTTATACCGTGCAGGAGAAGCTGAAGTGGATTGGGCGCATGGATGTGGCGGTGTCACTGCGCGCGCTGTCTCGCGAGTCGGGAATCCACCGCAAATGTCTCGCTGAGTGGAAGAGAGCTGCTGCCATGCTCAAGGAGGCGCACTCAGCACGGAAGCGGATGCACGGACGCGGGAGGGCGTCGTGGAGGGCATGCCCGCCCCCCCTCTCCTGGAGGGCATCGTGATACAGGCCGATGGAGTTGAAGGTCTACACAAAGCTTCTCGACTGGCGCCGCAAAGGTACTGCCGTCTCCGTCGGTCGCCTACAGGAGTGGTCAAGGGAGTTCATGAAGCTCCTTTTCCCCGACGTGAAGTGGAAGGGGAGCCAACACTGGTCGGAGTGGTTTCGAAAACAGTGGAATCTGAGCGTGTGCATGAAGACAAAGATTGCCCAGAAAACCGCCGAACGTAAGATGTCCCATTTGTTTTTAACGTACAGCGTGCGTGTTCTGCTGCTCCACGGTTTCCGGTTGTGACTCACCTTTGCCTCTTAACATTGTCCTTGTGTGCGCAGATGTCGCGGAGCTGTGCCAGAAGTTCTGGCAGCTCGTTCGTGACATGCGGCGTGACCGCGGCATCGAAACCCGCTGGATTATCAACGCCGACCAGACGCCGCTGTGGCTGGAGATGCCTGCCACCACTACTGTGGACGAGACGGGCGTTCGCTCGGTGCCCATCAGGAGCGGGGGGTACCAGAAGGAACGCGTGACCGTGATGCTGGAGTGCACGGCCGACGGCGAGAAACTCAAGCCGTGGGTCTTCTTCAAGCGCAAGACGGTGCCGAAGGGAGATTTCCCGCCAGGTAAAATTAAACCCCTCTTGTTCAGAGATTTGTTTACCGTATCCCTTGTTGTTAATAACACTTGTTTGTTCACTGTGGTATGCCAGATGTGGTCGTGGCGTGTCACTCGAACGGATGGATGGACGCCGTCGGCGTCATGCGCTGGCTCGACGAGTGCATCAAGCCCTTCATTAGGCCCCGGTTCGGCAGGCAGGCGAGGAACGCCATGGTGGTTCTGGATTCTTACCGCGGGCATCTCACGGACGCTGTGAAGGAGAAGTTCGCCGACCTGGACATCGTGCCGGCGGTGATCCCGTCGGGCTGTACGGCGGAGGTACAGCCGCTCGACGTCTCAATCAACAAATCCTTCAAAGACTCCATCCGCCAGCAGTACCAGAGCTGGTTTGAAGAGGAGGGCCAGGAGCGGCTGACGCGTGCAGGTAAGACTTCCACATATGATTGTTTGAGAGCGGCTTGAGTACCCCCACTTTGTTGTTCTAACTCCATTGCGGTGACTTGTGGTGCAGGGAACATCAAGATGCCCCCCCCCTGAGGTAGTGCTCAGGTGGATCTCACGAGCCTGGAAGGCCGTGCCAGCGGAGGTTATCAAGAAGGCGTTCCTCACCTATGGCATCAGCAACGCCTTTGACGGCAGTGAGGACAACCTTGCCATGGCGCACAGGCGGAGCCAGCTGACCCACGAGGTCGACGTCGATGACGAGATCATCGCCAACGGATTCTTAGGCAACAATTGCGAGGAGCCTGAGTCAGACGACAAGTAGATTCTAGCTAGGAATGTACCGGTAAAACATCATAATGCTTATTGAGATGAATTGGTTTAGTGGCATGTGTGGATTTCATGTTAGGAGAAAATGTTTAGATAAATAAATAGTAAAATGAATACCCCCTAGGGGGGAGGGATGCGCTTATGAAAAGTAATGAGTTTCTAGGGGGTGCGCTTATAATTGAGGACCGGCCATAAGCGCATGGCTCCAGATAGAAGCGCCGACGCCTTTAATCAGGCGGCGCTACTATCCTGGGCGATACGGTAAAAACGTGTTGTGGTCCTACGACGTCATATCAGGAACACCTCGTATCAAGAATGTATTTTGCTATGTTGACACCTCATGTCAGACTTATACCATAATCCCCGGATATAAACACAGGCCCCGGATATAGGAGTACCCCAAACAGCTTACAGATGATAAGCGCCACCCTCTATGTTATTTTTTAAATAATTTTAATGAAACATCTGTAATGAAACAAACATTTAGCATCCCGACATTAAAAATTTCAATGCCCTTCACCCTCGCGCAACTCACTTCGTGCGCGTTTAGTTAGAATGACTTGTCATAGGGGAAATAATGACTCATTCTGACTGTGTGTGTTGGCAGGGAATCGTTCCCTCCAACTTTCGCGACACTCTCATCCTCATGCCTCTTATTTTGAGCTGATTCCGATCGCAAGAACAAGATGAGCACTTTGATCTAAAACAAACAAGCTTTCATGTATTATATAAGCCCTCGTCGCTTATAAATTTCCTCAATTTTGTTTTCTATGAATGAACTTGTCAGAGTGCGCAGATATCGAATAACGAGAATGAGAATTACAGAATGACGAAACAATGAAGTAGCGAGGCCTAAATAGGGGAAAACCTAGCTAGGCGGGGAGGTCGGGAAAGGTTGGGTCGCGAAAGGTCATGATTGGTGCGGAGG